TACACAGTTGCGTTTTTCTAGTGCCAGACAAGATGCAGTCTACATGCCTTGGCTGGTAGCATCAATTTTAGTTAAAAGCAAAAAAATATGTATTATTGAGGCTTTTGTGTTAACCACTCCCACCCAGAGCAATGGTAACGAGGTCAGGCATAGTGAGAACAGAGCAATGCCATTGGGTATCCCTCGCCAACAAAGGCAACAAGTTGAAAGAAAAATATTCCACCTTACTTCCTATAGCACACCATAAATCTAGGATGGGAATCATGGGGAATTTGAGTGATTGAAGGATATGTAACCACTTTCAATTTGCAGATAAAACTTTGGCTTTGCTTAGATGGAAATATGGGACAAATTTAAAAGAGACAACTATGTATTTTGTCAATATGAAAATGCTGTTTCTTTGTAGGTCAGTAGTGAACGGCTGATATTTTCATGTTTTAACTTTGTGAAAGGTCAGTGAGAGTATAGGATATAAACTTTAGTTTTGTTTTCAAGAATCACCAAAGTAGGAAGGATGGATAAAGAAAAGGAAGTCCAATTTTTTCATTTTAAATCTTCTGCCTGTACAATTAAGTGTGAATGAAAGTATGCAAAAACGTCAAATATTGGTGGGCTAAATGAGACAGAAAGTAATTTCACTTTTCTATCAAGGAGTGCCTTCAGGGTGAGAGTCATGGTCCCTTGTAGTTTATACATTTTTCTGACTGGCTCCAAGTCCCAGCTGAACTTCCTGTTCTAAGATGGGTGCTTGAGCTCCAAGTTTTAAGTACATGGGTACTGGTCAGAGAAGTAGTTTACCATCCTGGCAGAGGCCAGACATTGAAGAACAATGGAAACCACACTGCAAGGCTTGGGCAGGCCCTTCCCTGCAGATGCCTTCTTTGCAGGTACAGGAAAGACTTTTGAATATTAAGCAGGAGGCAGACATAGTTGGATGTCTGTAGCAACTCTGTAGATGGTTTTGAGAAGCACACTATGGAAAATAACAGGCCAGTGCAGGAACTAGGCGGAAGGACAGAGGATAGATAAAGTAAAGTGTCTTCACTAGTGCAGCAGTGAAGACAGCAAGCACAGCCTACACTGTCTGGGAAATTTAAATGCAAAGAAAAGACAGAGCTTGAACGATAATAGAAATGTGATGCAAAGTCACAAGGATTCCACCTTCCTTCTGGCCATCAAGGAGTAGGTATGAGGAAATGGGTGGCTTTTGCTGAAAAATGTCTCCAAAAGAAGTATCTTTACAGAGACCAGATTCAGAGAATGTGTGCAGAGAGCGAGCATGTGATCTAGATGCTGACAACTGAATAGTTTTTCTGCTGAACACAATTGAGAAGGGTTGGAGTGGTCTAGGCTAAGAAATAAAATCTAATAAAGGGCTACATTATTTGGGAACAGACAATTCTTGAGCTATCAAGAACCATGGTGTTGGCTGCACTTGGGTGACTGGAAAGGACAGATATCCACTGTCCTTGAGGTCACTATCAGATAGGACAGCTTCCGTGACCTTTGCTCAAGACGCAGCCCTCAATAGAATCTAATCTAGAAAATTCCATAGGATTTTTCTGCGGGCTCTGGTAGGCCTAGAGAAACTAGTTTCTTTACTCAACCTGCTGACCTTATGGCTATCACAATAATAACTTTATTATTTGGTAAATTACATGTAAAACATCTTTAGTAAACTTTGAGCATTGGTTTCATCCACAGATCTCTTGATTGTGGGAATAAAGTGCAGAAATGTGTTAACTCCAGTGCATATTGTGTGTGTGTGCATGTGCGTGTGTACACACACACTTTGGGGAAAGGGCAGCTTTAAAGAGATCTACTTATTCCCTCCCAGCTCCCTTTCAGGGCTGTGCTGTGAGTATTGCTATTCCTCCATCCCAGTTCCCCCACGCTGAATTCAGGAGGCTCCTCAAGACCAGGTGCTACAGGGGAACTGGCCCTGTTCCCACCAATTTCCATTAAATACAGCAGAATCAAAATGGATTGTGTTGTTAAAATACAAAGGTAGAGACAAGGGATCAATAGACACAGACATACTGTGATTGAGATAGACTTAGATACAAGAATAATGGGTGCAATACCATGTAATGTACAGTCTATTAGAAGAAAGAGATTAGAAAGAGCAAGTGAATTTTTTCCACACAGTGGCATGTGCTGGAGGAGAAACAGTCCTGAGCAGAGAACCAGTGGGCAGCAGGGATTCACTTTCCACAGCGAAGTTAAAGAGCTCTTTGAAACATGGCAATTGGGAGTGACAAATATGCCAAAGTCCTGAGGTGACAGCATTCAGTGGGCTTCAAGTACTGAGAAATCATGAAAGTATGAAGTATGATGCTAAGTAGGAAGCTAAAGAAACCTGGCCAGAGATAGCAGTGAAGACTCAACCCCTCAAACCCTCTGATAAATTTAACTTCAAGTTTTCATCACTATCTATTAAAATAAAATTAGCAAAACTGAATTTAAATCATGTGCATAACTAACCTGATTTCCTTTTGTTAAATCAATTTCATAATAGACTTGCAACACACTGTACTTGGAGATCAATTCTATGATGTCATTTCCTAAATAGCCTTCATCATAAAGGTCCACATTAAGGAAAACACTTTCATCAAGTCAAGGTCCAAGTTATTTATCATGGCAACATTCCAATAAATGGTGAGTCAAAGGGAAGACTGTTTTGCACACAAAATTAAAGGAAACATTATAGTATTAATAGTCTTTTTAATGTACTTTTGTATTTACAAAAGCATCCATTTCAAGGTTACTTGAATTTTGGAAAGTTCTACGATCATTTTATGCACAGTAAAATTTGTGTCCAATACAAATTAAACACAATCTTTTATTATTCCATCATTGATTGATTTGATATGAGGTAACTGTTCAGACTTAATTGCTTTACTCTGAGAAAGCCCTTGGGGGAAAGCAATCCTGAATCTACTCAGCACAAGCAACTAAAAACTACAAACAGAAGTTTCAATTTTGCCCTAACATGAGACTCTATTAGGCTTGCAATGTGGTTCTAAACTATAAAAATATTAAGGTTTCAAACCTCATAAGAGTATAATGAAAGCTCTGACACTTTACCCATATGTTGACAAAACATGCCTCAAATAAATGCTTTGCTTTCCCTGACAAAGATTTGTAAGATTTTATGTGAAATTCAACTCCACAGTTTGCTTTCAAAGAAGTGTTTTGCACAACAGTTCATTACAATTTTTTAACTAAAAAAATAGCATGAAAGAAAGAACTAGGGGGGAGGGGCAGGGAGAGGTGAGGTTCCTCACAAATGCTGCTCACAACCTGAGATATTTCAATCTCAACAGGCTGTGATACCACCGCTGCATCATTTTTCCACTTTAAAGAAACATGGCTGATTCTTGCTGGTAAAATAACAACTGATTATCTCACCTGTAGTTGCTCTCCAAAAGCATCCATTGTATACTGGCCCTCAAGATGCCTAGGCAGGCTCATCATCGGGCTCACCACCACTGGAGGCCTGCACAAGGTGACCCTCAATATACCTCCCATGCCCACATGCTTCTCCTACTACTGACAACCACTCGGCTCCCTGTCTTTTGAAATGAGCAATACAACAATCTCTAGGATTTTAATATTTGATGCAACTCTGTGTTCTAACAGAAACCACTAAGTGTTCAAAAGTAAGTGTAATTAGAATACAGCACATCGTCATTCGCATTTGTTTTTTTTTGGGGGGGGGTTTTGTTTTGTTTTGTTTTTTCCATCTCAGAAGTTTCTCAGCTTCTGGATATGCAGACACATAGTAATGCCAGAGTAATTACCAGATTCCTGCTGCAAAGTCATAATGGCTGTCGTTCCATATTGATTAACTCATTTCAGGTAATTTGCTTTAAAATAGCACAGCCTTCCCTTTCACCAAGCATCCTTGACTCTGATTTCAAACACTACCCAATCTCATTCCACAAACGAATGAAACAGCAGAAGAAAACAGCAGAGCTCAACAGTGGAACTATTTCATTTTGGACTGTTACTTGGGGGTGGCAAATTCTACTGCTTTCAGCTTCAAGAGGACTGTCTGTACATTGTATAGTATATGTATGTGCACTGTAGTTGGGCTTCTGAAGGCATTTCCCTCACCACAGTTAAACAAACAGGCACTCCGGAGAATACTCTAGGTTTTTGCTCTCGACTGAGCAAGCACATTCTATTGGTGTCAATCCAAACAGGGTATCCCATCTGCAGTAAAGCAGAAAGTCCTCCCACACCACCAATGCAAGGACTATTGGTGGGGGGATTCTCAGGCACAGAACCTGTCTTTGAAAATATCCATTTTAATGAGATTTTCCAAAAAAGCAAGGATAAGGATGGGCTGTACCCCTCACCTAACTGGCAGCCTGTTTCAAAAATTGCCAGTGACTTTCCCCAAATTCCGCTGACAACTTCTACTTCCCCAAAACGACGTAGACCCTGGAGGAGAAAAAAAATTGACTCTAATTTCCCCCTAATCTCAAAATCATCACCAAAAGTATGAAAACAGTTTGAGCCAGACTCCGAGGTAGTTCACCCGAAAAGCAAATTCATTCTTCGGCCCAAGGTAGGGAAAAAAGAACGTCTGGATCCAGGCTTACTATTTCGTGAAGCTTGTCCAATACTTCCCAACTCCCTGAAGACTTTAAGCCTCCCTTTGAGGTGCGATACGTATCCCCCAAAACATCTTCCACACAACGTGCACACCGTACTTTTCACAATTTCATGACTTGCACTGCAAAAAGCGGAGGGAGGGGGCCGTGAACTCAAAAGAAAGTGACATTTGGAAATTAAAACTTCAGCGTTAGCAATCAAACTCGTCTGCCAAACGCCTGGCTAGAATACTCAAACTGGGACCACACTGGCGTGCGCCCCAGCCACAGCAGCCAATCACAGAACTTTTCAGCCGTTGCCATGGCCACATTGTGTGTTGGGCGGGTATGTTTCCTTCCTGGGAGCCAATCGGTGACCAACCCAGCCGTTGCCCTGGCTGCTCCTCGTATAGGGGCCACTTCTGTGTTGCTTTCGTCCTAGCCCAGGAACCAATAGGCGGGCTGCTAAGCTGTTGCCATGGTCACGCTGTAAATTAATGGGGCGCAAGCACTAGGCAACAGAGACTCCACAAAGCTGCTCCAGCTCCCGGGCTCATAAAGGTTCCAGCATCCGCACTCCTGGAGACACCAGCCGCGCCAGGATTCCACGAGCACCCGGCATGAATCGAAAGAAGCTGCAGAAATTGACAGAAACTTTAACTAAAAACTGCAAGCATTGTAAGTAAGTTTCAAGTGCTGGACAACCCCAGGCTCCTAGGCCAGGTGTCTGTATGACCCAGTCCTAATTTCCCTGCCCTGCCTGATTTCTGCCTCTAGATCCGATGTACTGATGGCACCCCAACTACCCCTGTGCCCTAAAAAGAAGTCTGGGAAAGAACCCCACCCCTGGATGCTAACTCCTTTGGGCGGGCCACCCCCAGGATCTTAAGAACTCATATCCGTGCATCTTGTGCTACCTACCCTCCACATGCACTTACTTGCTGTTCAGACCCTCCCCTCCCCTCAAATTAATTTTTTGTTGTAGAAGAGATGATATGTGCCTACAAGACGTGTGGTTTTAGCCTCAGTCTGGTAATAAAGAAGGAGCAAAACCCACAGACTCAGAAAAGTAGCACAAACAACGTAAAATATGGACCCTAGCCTGCTTTTTAGCTCTTTTTAGAGCAAAATAAATAGACAGGATTAAATTCTGGACGCTTAGCAAGATATGCACAGGGGGAAATAGCCATCACCTTCTTTGGGAAAGGTGAATTGAAATGGCACAGAAACCTGTGACTCGGAGCAAGATTGTTGTGAAACCAAATTGATCAGTGAAGCTAAACATATGGTAAAGAATCTGTTTCTCAACCTTAGACTTCTGTTATCCAGGTGCTAGTGAAGTTGCAAGGTAAGGGAGGCTTTGCACGTGACAAGGTAAGTACTTAATAAAGATACCTGCTGTGATCTCACATTTGAAAAGGTGGTCCTAGAACTTCATAGGTTACTTTAGGATTGTATTCATATTGAAAAACAAAACTGTACTTATGCTAGGAAGCCATGGATGAGGTGTAAATGAGGAAGACACTGTTGTGCAAGCTTGGAAGTTGTAGGTTCACTGCAAAATTACTGGCCCCTTGGAAAAAAACTTGAGAAGCCATAATCCTCAAAACATGCCCATTGTACAAAGAAGGGGAATAAACATATTTTCATGTCATTCTGTCTCTAGATTGTAGGCTCTAGTGCCTTATCATCATCATCAGTGTCTTATATGAAGAGTGTCAAATGTTCTCTTAATGCGGTTATCCCATAAATAAAAGTTATGGTGAATATGAGCATTTTAAAATTGCCTTGAAAAGGTTATCTTGTAATTTAGGATGTTATTGTGGTAATGGTAATTTGATGAGGATTTCTTTGTTGTTTTTCCTAAAAATACTTCCATTTCTGGGGAAAAAACAGATTTCCTTAAAACATCTAATAAACATTTTTGATAAATTCTCATGACAAATACAATAATTTCTGTACACAGAACCAATTTTGATTTAGTTTCTGTTCAGCAAATTTGCAATGCAGTGCAATCAAACATTTCCTGAACAATTGAAAGGTGAGTACATATATTTAAAGATAAGTAAAAGCATCTAAAAAAAAAAAAAGAACTCTTGATTTTTGTCCTTACACAGAAACTTTGATAGGTACTAGTTAAAAGCAAGTGTCACTACATTCTATAGAAATAGTTGCAAGTCATGGATGGGCAATAGTTTAAAATTTGTAGAAGACTTTTACATAAAGTCAAATTTCTGCTTAGTTGACCCATGATAGCACAATGAATGAAATGGACATGTTTTGTTGAACAAGGGAAAAAGAAAGGGTCTGACCAAAACATCTCGTTAATCCACCATTATATAATTCTACAAATGTGATCTGCACAGCATGTGTACAGCATTCCAAAAGAAAGAAAAGCCATTTTTATAGTATTCTAGAAGTAGTAATTTCTACAATTTTTAACTTTGATTTAAGTTTTAAGTTTCTAACTTTCATTTCAGCTGAGATGGAAAAGTGGGTAATCAATGTGTCCATCAGCTAGCATTTCAGCTACATGAATAGTGCACAGTAGTCTTCAGGGAACGTTTTCTTCCCAACCATTAAGAGCTTTTCGTTTTTTTTAAAAGAGCTTTTCATGTATGTGTGCATATGTATGTATGTATGTATGAATAACATAAAATTTACTATTTTCACCATTTTATGTGTATAATTCTGTGACATTAAATATAAAAATCGTCCCTTATCTTTAAGATATAGGTTTCACGATCCTTCAGTGGGTGTCTGAAACCACAGATGGTGCCAGACCCCATATTGCCCATGTTTTATCCTCTACAATACAGACTTATGATGACATTTAATTTATAATACAAATTAGGAACAGTAAAAAATTAATAGCAATAATGAATAGTAGAATCCCATAGAAATACACTGAAATAAAGGTATTTAAAACAAAAATTATTTGTTTATATAATTTTTCCATTGGTTGACCATGGTTAACTGTATTCCTGGAAAGCAAAACCATGGATAAGGGGCAATGACTGGACTGTACATTCATACTGCCATGCAGCTATCACAACATCCATCTCCAGAACTTTTTCGTCTTCCTCAACTGGAGCCCTATCTGAGTTACTCAATCACTCCCTCATTTGCTCCTTTCCCCAGTCTCAGGAAACCACCACTCTCCTATTTGTCACTGTGACTTTGGCTTGAAAAAGAGTGGAATTGTGCAGTGCGTACGCTCTTCCGTCTGGCTTTTTTCACTTAATCTCCATAAACATTCATCCATCCTGGACCACAAAATAGTATTTCCCTTCCTTGTTAGGTCAAATCATGTAGTGTTGTCTGATGATATAACATTTCATTTAGCCCTTAACCCAACAATGAACACTCGAGGAGCTTCTTTTTGTTATTGTGTTATTTGTAATAATGTAATATTGTCAACATTAATGCACTTTACAAAGATCTAATTGAGTTCCTGCTTTCAATTCTTGTGTGTATATGCTCAGAAGTGGGATTACTGGATCATTTGGTAATCCTGCATTTAACTTTTTGAAGAACTGCTTTAGTGTTTTCAACATTGACTAATAGCTTAAGATTCTTTTCTGTTATTTAATTCATTTGCTATATTTTTCCTTTTCCGAAGTTTTAAACCTTTCTCTTAAAATGTGGTTTTGAAATCAGAAATCACACTCATGCCTATTCTGATTTATAAGCTGAGATGTAATTTCTCTATTCCTCTGTGCTGTTTTCTCATATATGCCCAAAGATTGTATCCTTGCTTTTGAAAATATTCAACCTTAATTTTGTCTGAAATAAAATGTTCCCTGTCTTTCACTCATGCTTCATATTTAGAGTCACTTTTGTATTCTCTGTGCCACATGGTGATCCTTCCATCTACTACCTCAAATGACTATTGGAAAAACAAGTAATTACCTCAGTGCTTATTAACACCATCTTTTATGCAATTATGTGTACAGACAAGTGTCTCTCTGTGTATATATCCTTTAAATATAAATGTCTTTCCTCTAAAGTACTACTGAACAGTTGCATGTTGATTTCTTTCTCACATAAGGGAAACCATACTGGGTGCTAGAGTGCACTTAAAACTTCTTTATCAATTCTGATATAAATTTCCAGGGAAAAGCTAAATTGTAAATCTGATGAATGCCTACAATAAAAATTCTAAGTTTTTTTTTCAGCTTTAATTGACTTTATTGGTACATTTTAGGGATACAGTACAGTTGCATTCATTGTTGGGAATTTACACCTCTACATGACATGCCTTGGTTCTCATTTTTTCCCTTTGTCCCTGCCCTCCCTTCACCCCCTCCTCCCCTCCCCATCTACAAACACTTTACTTCCATCTTTTCATTATCTCACATTTTTTTCTTTTCCCTTATTACAAAATTATAGTTTTAAAAATAAGTTAACACGCTTATGCATCAGCATTCTTATTTTGAATCATTCCTCAACAAGCCTTGTTAAAATTTTAATCTGACACTAAAAATCATTATTCAAGTTACCTGACATATATA